TCTCTTTCTGTCACTCTTGATCTTGCTGTCTGCTCACTCTTCCTCATTTAGTTATTTTGAAGTTGTCTTTCTAAGCCTACCCCAGTCTGTCAGGGTGGAACGAGATTTTATATTACAGATGACAGGCCTCTGTTTTAGAGTAAATTGAGGCTAACACGGTTCCCCAGAGACCCAGTGGATAATTTTGTTTTGTTCCTGGTACTTCCTTTTTCTATTATTCTGAGATTTTCTTACACTTTCTTCTGACTTACACTTCCTATTATCTGATTTCTGAGTTTTACTCTTTCTTAATTTACTCCCTGAATTTTAGTGAAGCATTACCTTTTTGGGAAAAAGTGCAAGGGAGGTAAGTTTTAGAGCATTTCCCTTCCTAAAAATGTCTTGATTCTACTCTTATGTTTAATTGTTTAATTTGCCTTAGAATTTAAAGGTATTACTCCATTGTTGTCTAGTTATTTGTGTAATTATTGAGAAATCTGATTTTATTTTTATTTACTATCTTTTGCATGTGACCTCTCTTTTCTCTTTGTAAGATTTTAGGCTCTTTGTATCCTGATGTTCTAAAATCTACAGTGATGTATCTTAGCATGGTCATTTTGGTGACATTCAGTGTGAAATTCAGTATAGAAAGTGACATCCTCCAGTTCTAGGGCATTTTATTGTATTTGTTTAATAATTTCTTCTCATTTCTCTTCACGGAAAAGAGGAGCTCCTATTATTTGGATGTTAGGTTTTAATTTTTTATGTTTTCTATTAGTTGTAGTGAATAATTCTGCTATGAACACGGTATACAAATATCTCCTCAGGATTCTGTTGTTAATTCTTTTAGGTACATACTCAGAAGTGAAATTGCTGGATCATATGGTAACCTATTTTTACTATTTGCATGAAATGTATTTTTCCATCTTTTCACATTCAACCTATTTGTGTCTTTGAATCTAAACTGAGTCTCTTGTGGACAGCATTCAGTTGGATCATGTATTTTTATCTATTCTTCCAATTTCTGTCTTTTAATTAGAGAGTTTAATTTATTTATATTTAAAGTAATTACTGAAAAGGAGGGAATTTGTTATGTCATTTTGCTTTGTTTTCTATATGACTCATAACTTTCTTGTCTCTCATTTCCTGCCTTACAGTTTTCTTTTATCTTTAGTTGACTTTTTATAGTGAAATGTTTTAATTCCCTTCTCATTTCTTTTTGTGTATATTCTATAATTATTTTTGTGGTTACCATGGGGATTATATTTAACATCTTAAAGTTATAACACTCTAATGTGAATTTTTACCAGATTAACTTCCAATAGCGTACAAAAAGTCTGCTCCTTTACAGCTCCATGTCTACCTCTTTTTATTATTGAAGTCACAGAATTACATCTTTATATATTGTGCATCCAAAAACATAAACTAGTCACTGGTTTTTAAAATTCATTAGTCTCTTAAGTTATGTAGAAAATGAAATATGGATTTACAAACCAAAGTTATAAGAATACTAGCTTTTAGACCAATAATTGTTTTTTAATTTATTGGTCTCTTAAATCACATATAAAACAAAAAGTGGAGTTATGCCGGGCGCAGTGGCTCACACCTGTAATCCCAGCATTCTGGGATGCCAAGGCGGGTGGATCACAAGGTCAAGAGTTCGAGACCAGCCTGGCCAATATGATGAAACCCCTTCTCTACTAAAAATACAAAAATTAGCCAGGCATGGTGGCGGGTGCCTGTACTCCCAGCTACTTGGGAGGCTGAGGCAGGAGAATCCCTTGAACCCGGGAGGCGGAGGTTACGGTGAGCAGAGATCATGCCACTGCATTCCAGCCTGCGCAATACAGCGGGACTTGGTCTCAAAAAAAAAAAAAAATAGTCGAATTACAAGTCACTGTTGGCCTAGCATGGTGACTCATGGCTATAATCCCTGTACTTTAGGAGGCTGAGGCGGGTAGCTTGAGCCCAGGAATTTGGGACCGGCCTGGGCAACATGACGAAACTCCATCTCTATGAAAAATACAAAAAATTAGCCAGGCATGGTGGCACATGCCTGCAGTCCCAGCTACTCTGGAGGCTGAGGTGGGAGGATCACTTGAGCCTGAGGTCAAGGCTGCAGTGAGCTGAGATCATGCCACTGCATTCCAGCTTGGGCCACAGAGTGACACCCTAGTCTTAAAAAACAAACCAACAAAAAACCAAGTTATTGTCACCATAAAACTAGTTTTAATAATTGCTCTTGTATTTTTCTTTATTAAGACCTTTATGTTTTCATATAACTTTGAGTTACTGTCTAGTGTCCTTTTATTTCAAGCTGCAGGAACTATCTTTAGCATTTCTTGCAGAGCAATTTTTGTTTTGTTTATTTTTTCCCTGTGATTGTGCCATGCTTTCCTGTATCTTTGTATGTCTTGTGATTTCTTTGTTGAAAGTTGGCCACTGGAATCTAATAATGTGGCAGCTGGTAATCAGAGTCCTCCCCATTCCCGCAGGGTTTGCTGTTTTTTGTTGTTTGGGTTTTGGTTGTTGTAGGCTGTACTCATGCCAAGCCAAGGATCAATCTAAGGTGTAAACCAGTCTCCTCAGGTGTTTTCTGAGCCTGTGTCTTTTTCTGGGCATGTGCGGTGACTTTCTTATTTCTCCTGGATATGCAGATGCCTTTGAATGTCCTAGTCTTTAATGTTTGGCTCCCAAAAGGGCAAAAAGGAAAATGAAGGAGAGGAAAAAGTCGCTGGCCCTTTAAGTCTCCTGGCAGTTGCTTCAGCCTGAGGGGGAGGGACTTGCCACCTTGGAGGAGGGGTTGGGTGGTGGTGGTGCAACAATGGCTGTCTAACTCTGTGCGGACACTCTTAGGATCAGAAGTAGCAATCAGCAGTCAGAACACAGATCCCCAGTATTTGGAGGATGAGTACTTGCTCCTTATTGCCACCCAAGCCCAGCAAACTGCAAGCAAGGGACTCCAGGAACAAGTGCACAGCTGCCTTGCTGGAGGCTACAGGGTGGGGGATGGTAGCTATTGCGGAGCTAAGAGCTGAAATTGACAGAAACTGCAATTTACCTTGCAAGCCTTCTATAGATGCCAGAGTTCCAAAATAGTTACATCAGACATATCCTGCCAGTACCACTTGTTGACAGATTCCTGCTGCTTCCTATGTTGCCATCTTCCCAGAATCCTCTCTTAAAAACTTTTTTTCTTAAGTCTTTTTGGTTTGGTTTTGTTTTTTGGAGGGGAAGAAATTTTATGTGTACCCCATGAGTTTTATTAGTGATTTTCATTATTAACTTTTAAATTAATCCTTCTGTGTCAATAATTGTATAGGTCCAGTCCTCTTAACTCCCTTTCCTGTTTATCTAGAAACTGTATTAATTCTTCTGTCAGACTTTAAGCTAGGAGCTGGATGTTGATAGTTTCTATTTTTCAGTTACTCAGCTGTCTGAGGAGGTTGGGGAGATGGAAAAAAAAAGGGAGTGAGGTAATTTCTGTCTACATAGGGGCATTTTTCATTTAAATCTGTTGAATCTCTGCATTTTGTCCAGAGGGTCAGTTCCTTTTGCCATATCTCTGCTTTCTTGTGTTTAAAGAACATTGGTCATCTTGGTGCCAGGATCAGTTAAAGTGAAGACCTATGACTTGTGGACATACATGAAATGTGGTCTTACATTTTATCTGTAAATATTTCAGCATGTGTCTCTAAATGATAAACTTTAAAGACATAACAACAAATATATTACATCTAAAAATTAACAAAACAATTTAATACGATCAAATATCCTGTTTTCAAATTTCCAGTTGTCTCATACATGTCATAAATGTGTTTTTGTCTGTTTGCTTGAATCAGAATCCAAGTAACTTCCACACATAATGATTAATTGATATATAATTTAAGTCTCTTTTAATCTATAGGTTTTCTCTTTCATCTCTTTTTTCTGTGCAACTTTTTGTTTGGTTGAGAAAACAGGTCATTTGTCTTACACAGTTTCACAAAGTTTATAGTTGGTTTTGCTCATTGTGTAGTTTAGTATGTTCCTCTGACCTCTGTAATTCCTGTGACTTGGTAATGCTATAGGCACTCTTGCTTTTCCATAATGACTGGTTTTCTCCCATTTTTTTTGTGATATTGACAGAAGTCAAACATTTTTATATGCTAACCAAAAGTTATTCATCCTTCCTCCATGCTAGTTAGAACCACTATTTTGCTCAGTTGTCAATTTGCCCAGTCTCAGGGTATAAGTCATGATTGGTTTGAGTCAATCACAGCAATACTGTTCTTCTTCACTATCAATTTGTTCTAGAGATGAGTATGTGATTCCATGTTGGCAAATGAAATATAACAAGTTCATTAGAAAAGGTTTTTCTCTTCCGTAAAATTTGGAAAAGTGTGAGAAGAAAGATCTTTTTTTTTTTTTTCTTTTTCTCACTTCTTACTGCTGAGGGAGGATACAATGCCTACGGCTGTAATAGCTACATGATCTCAATCTGATTCTTATTCTGTATAAGTGATCTTTTTATCTCTGGAAACTTTTAGAAGTGCCACTTTGTCTTTGATATTCTTCAACTTCATTATAATGTATCAGGGTTGGGTTTTTTGTTTTTTGTTTTTTCATTACATCTCTTGCTGGACACCTCATGAACCATCAAACTTTTATTAAAAGTTTTCTTTAAAATGTAATGAACCATAATTATCTACTTTTACAAGTTCTCAAGTATAATTTATTGGTATTAGCATAGTCCATATGGCATTGATCTCACAAAAATCAGATTTATCTTTTAAGCCACTTTAGACAAAAAACCAATTAATTTCCACTAACAAAAAAGAAAAGAAAAACCCTATACTATTTTTCTTTTAAAACTTTAAATAATGAAATGTTCTATGCATATACAAAAGAAATAAAGGAGTATGTATAACATATATATGTACCAGGTTTGTTCTTAAATGTAATTAACAAGTATTCCACTGAATTATTTTTTCTTTTTCTAAGACTTGAATTAACTGTACTATCTATTATCTTTTCCTCAGGATGCAGAGAGTCTTAGGAAGAATTTGATGTGATTGGAGGTGGGGAAAGGTACCCTAAAATACTTAGGTAAGACCAATATAGTTTATACAGTTCATTTTAATGTTCTTTATGGTGAATATAGTATCCATGAAAAGAACTAAGAAAGAGAGACTCATAAAAACTTAATAAAAATGTCTTGGTCATCTAAGAAGTGTGAATTGAGAGGAAACTGTCAGGATGCCAACCTAAAGAAAAATCTTTGTCATCCTGTGTTACAGGATCTGAAATCTCATCTTTAGAATTGCTTTGTTGGATCATAAAATCTTTCAAATATTCAAGAAAATTCCATCGAACTGATGGTCCTCCACGAGGAATCATGTCTTATTTATTGCTAGCAGTTTCTGGCACATAATAGGTAGTCAAGAAAATGTCTGCTGAATAAATATTAAATAACAAAATTGAAAAGAACATTGAGAAGAATAATACTTAAAGACCAACTAACACTTGTATGATAGATTGCCACAAGTAATTAAGCCATAATATCTTTGACCAAGATGTGTAACCACTTTATGTTGTATCACCCAGACTCTTCCTATCTTTTTTTTTTTTTCCCCCAATTCTGGTTGCACTTGATTATATTGTTGAGGGTAGAGAACCTGGGCTTGAGTTCATAGATCAACAAAAAGAAAAGAAGCATTTTTAAGAGACTCTTATTATCCAAATTAATATCATTTAATCTTTTGTTATCACAGTGCTTATGAGGTGCCAACTTATCTATGTCTTAAAAATATTTTTACATTGTTGTAAGAACAAATACAAGTTTGTTGGTATGATTTACGGGTGAGAATCCTTAGAGAGAGATGTATTTCCATTTATATATTATTTTTAGGAGAAAATTTCACTGTCTTAAAATGAGGTGCTTTATGACACAGTGTCCATGAATTGTATGTATATATTTTTTTATCCTTCCACCTCAGTCTCCTGAATCACTGGGATTTTAGGCACAAGCCACTGCACCTGGCATCAATTGTATATTGAAAAGCAGAAAGAGGTTTGTAATCAAGATGGAAACTTCATTACTATCACCACCATCGTCACTTTTATCATTTCCATTACACTCTTGGTGCAATGGTGTTGAGTACTCTCTCCAATCTGTCAAACAATATATAACATATTAGTTATACATTGCACAGCTCTGAGAAACTCAGAGGTCAAATGCTATCAGTTAGTAAACAGTAGTAAGGTCTTCGGAGGGATCAACTATTTAAAGCATTAATCTAAATGCCCTATCCCCACTAACTATCCTTCTCAAGTAAAAAAGTATTCCAGAATCCTTTCCTAAGCTATGATTTAGCCCTCTCCTTTTGTTTTTCTCCCTTTTAATCATCTTCCCTTCCTTCTTGATTCACTCTCCTCTCTCCTCTCCTCCCTCACCGTTTTTTTTTTTTTTCTTGCTGACCAATATGTTCAAAACTGAAAGGAGATCAAGAGGTAACTTTCAGGTTTTGAACATAGAGGTTAGCAAGAAAAAAAGGTCATATGAATGGTGGAAGAGGTGAGATGAATGTTGGAGGAGAAAGGGGAAGAGATAAGGTAAGTCTGACTAACAATTTATTTTAACTTTCTCCAATTCCTCTATAACATAAATGCAGGTTTGCAGGATTTTGTAGGTGAATGTATACGTAGAGGTAAAATAAAGTTATAATGTGAATACTGTTGGGGGGATGCAATATCCTAATCTGAAAAACAAAAACTACATGAAAACACAGAACAGCTCTGCCCATTTTTCCAAACTAACATCGTTTTTTGTCATTAAAAGAAAAATCTTGTTCTCTCTTTCTGCTGTGATGTGTGTGCATGTCTGGTTTGCACGGAAATGAGGACCTGAAGAGAGATGGGGGATGTACGATGCGGGCATAAAATCCACTTTGTAAACATGTTCATCATTCCATAATGGCATCCCCTTTGGTATTTACAGAAGATTTCTCCTTGTGTGTTTTACACAAACGTGAGTATGACTAACGTGAATTTCCGCTCATTTGCCTTTTCTAGGTGGAATTGTGTAGTCCAATAAACACAATAATAAAGAAGGCTTCCTAAAGACAAAGTGAGGATTTCTCAGTGTGCTTTTTATTAAAGGATGGAGAAAATCTTGCATTTGGCTACAGGTTGACATTTTCAAAAGCCTACTCTGAGACAATTATGTATCATACACATTTTTAAAGTTTTTAGAAAATTGTCAATGCTGTACATGCTACTTAAGAAAACATGGAATAAAAAAAAAAAAAAGAAGTGAAAAATCCGATCGTAGTTTCGCTTTTAATTTATTGGTATATCCTTCTGCACCAAGGTATTTTGTTGTTGCTTGAACGTTTGCCGCTACTTATTCCCTCCCACATTTTAAAAGATAATTTATGTAGAATTATGTAGAAAGTGAGGTATCAATTAATAGGTTGGATTTATAAAGAACAGAAGAGGAGCCATACTGGCCTTTGGGGTAAAGCCAACCATATTAACTGTCCAGCCCTGTTGTGAGGTAGAGGAAGTATTCGTTTGAGGGGGATGTGAGCCTCTCTCATTGTAAAGACAGTTTTTGATCAAATATTCAATATGTACATGTTTGGAGTTCAGTACGTCTTCCAGAGCTACTGGCGACAGCTTCTTTCGTTGACATGGGCTACAATGATTGCTAAAACCTGTGTGCCAGAAGCAAGGGGTGGGGAGACGCCATTTGCTAAACCGGAACTGGTTAAAATCTCAGGGTGGAGACCATTCCCAGTCAGCAAAGGCTTGCGAAGTGCATACAGTTCCTGCTCCTGGTGTCTACTCTGAAGAGCACAAAGTGGACGTTTGTCTGCCATTTCACTGGCAGTAGGATCAGCAGCTGCTGGTGAGCAAAGAGGTAGTAGTGAGTCACTGGAGTGGTGGGCGCCGGGGCAGCGCCCTACGTGAAAAGATCAGCGGCGAACCCAGCTCCATGGCCTAGTCTCGTCAGACCGAGCGCGGACCCTGCCGGCTTCCGTTCTCTTCCGCTTGTCTCAGGTGCAGCGCAGATCCCTCCGCCGTAGCGTGCGCTCCCGGTAGCGCTGCGATCAGCTTTTCGGCAATACCCGGATGGAAGTGTAATGGCCGCCATCAGGGACTCGCAGGCAATGGGGACTACGACAGGTACTCCCCGTGAGCGGGACTGCCCAGACCTTTTAGGATACCGGAACTTCTAGAGGGCCGGCCAGCAGGCAAACGGCGAGTTTGTGGACCGTCAGGGTCCCCCAAACAGGGCTAGGGATCCGCCTCTTGTGAGAGGAAGCGCAAGTTAAATAGTCCCGGCCATTCAGCGCTTCCGCCTAACTTGCCGCAAAGTTTTTCTGGAGAAGTCGGGGTTTTTTTGCCGAGCGCTTTTGCAGGCTGCTAGAGCTAACCCTTACTTTCTAAACCTGGGGTTGTTTTACGTCCGGGCTTTTTCAACTCTACACTCTCCTACATTCTAAGAGCTGGGTGGGAGTAGGGCACGGTGTGCCTCCGCGCTCCCCGCGGGGCAGCCGAACCCCGGAGGAAGGGGCGGATCGGGCGCGGTGTTTGGGGCGAAGCTGGGCGCGCGGCGCTCGAAGCACTTACTCGGCGGGTTTCGTGGTTGGTGGAGACAGCAAGGGCACCCCGCAGACCGCACCCCTCGAGCTATAGGTTCGCAGGCCCGACTCGACGGCGTCCCTATTGCTGGCCCAGCCTATGGTCATTGGGGGCCATTTCTTGCAGAGATGCCCAGCTCCCTGAAGCGCTCGCTCTTCTCCAGAGTTGGCCAAAGGTGCTCTTCCCCGCAGACCCTAACCACACCCAGTGGCAGATGGATTTCTTTGTAACTGGCTTTCTCACATGTAGGGTTCATTTTGACTCTATTCTTTACATGGTGTCCTCTTTGTCAAGTAGACAGTCTCTTCCTAGGTGGCTGTGGTAATTGAAAAGTATATGGAGTGAATGTATATAAGGAAAAATGTTTTAACTCTTAAGCGGACCGAACAAACAGATGTAGCTTTAAAGTTTAGAATACAACATTTAAGACTCAGTTTTCTTTTTAGGTTTAAATTTGATAGCAAGTAGTGTATGTGAGCTGTTTGAGTGCAAACATTGTTGAGTATGTTGTCAAACGTCTAAAAAACCCTAGAAAAATAAAATAAGTCAATGTTCAAGGAATTCATAAGAATGTTGGAATTTGTACAGTTGTCACAGTGATAAAACATGAAGACACCAAACTGTCAGGATAGGAATTCTATTAACTTGAAAATGTGCATGTTAGATCTAGTTACTGGTAATTATTGAATTGCTTTTTCTGCAGCAAGGGATCTGATTTGAGTATACTCTAAGGTTGGTATCCTCAGATTTAATTTAAAACATTTAAATTGATTCAGTGAAATTTCCTAACATTTTCAGAGTTTAACTGCAAATTTATAGAAATGCATTCACTACCTTTCAGCAAAATTCTCTTTTCTGAAATTTATAAAGAGACATTGCATTCTTTTAACACATTGAGGGTGTTGGGATTTCCTGGGGAAGGTAAGCATAGTAAACAATGTTGATTTTTGCTATAAAAACTATAAATTAGATCATCCCTGGATACAGAAAATTGCCAACAAAAGGGGGAGGAGAATAAAATGTAGGTATGTTACACAACCAAATGTTTCCTGTTTGTTGCAGTGAAAATAAGTATAATGACCAATTAAAACGTTTTATATCTGGTTTTATGGAAGGACAAAAGACAGTAACCACAATGAACAACCACTATGTGCATTGATAATGTATGAACTTTTAAATGCTTCAGTTTTTTGCCATGGTCACACTTCGGATTCTGTTCTAGCCTCTCTGGTAATAGTATGCTGTAATCCCAGAAGTTTCTATATTTTGAAACATTACAGAGGGACTGTACTTTAGCCTAAATCTATAATTTGACTTCGAGATATACTTTAAATGCCCTTTAAGTTTATTTTTATTGTTTGCTTTTCTGTATATAGTTGTTTAGAATTGTTCTCATTGAGGCGTTCTGACATTGCATACTTTAGAGTACTTAATACAACTTTTTTTTTTTTTTTTTTTAATGATAGGAGACTTTAATCTTGCCGACATTCCTTCAGGTATGCTACTGAAGGTTTTGTGGCAAAGTGCCATAAGCAGAAGAAAAGGGTTTTAACACAGTCTTGAAATTTTTGTTTATTATCTGGTCCCAGGTGTGTAGGCTGTGAGTATTTCAATTCTATATGGGGTATTGGCGTCTCATGGTGAGCAGTTTTCATGGCATATTAGATACCAGAAATAAGTATTAAGGGTTACTATTGTGGTTGTAGGATAACTGAGTTGGAATCAGATCCAGATATTAGTTCTAGTTTTGTGACTTTGGGCAAGGCTCTATTTCTTTTTCTTATAATAAATGAAGATACTGAGTCAGATTGATTCTAGGCGTTAGATTGTGACTTTTGCAGATTTATGACATGTTACCACTGGGCATCAATGATATATGCTTAAGGGTAGAGAGGTTTTCTTAGTTGTGTGTGTGTGTGTGGGTTTTTTTAGGTTTCTTTATACACCTTAAGTTGAATGTGACGTGTAATTGAACAGTTTTTGTAGTCAAAAGTTTTAAAATCTTGGTCTTCATTTCCAGATATCATCTCTTCTTTTGATCACTGTTCCTGATTGTGACATTGTGCAAGTGTTAAATTGTGTGCCTTTTGTTCCTGAAGAAAGAGGTATGGTAAAGATTGAAATACTGGAGTATATAGTCTATTAAGTAGTAAGTTAGTATGTTTTAATATTGAACTAAATAAAATAAAATACAGGTTAAGTATCCCAAACCCAAAAATCCAAAATGCAAAATTCTTTGAGCGCTGACATGATGGTCAAAGGAAATGCTCTTTGGAACATTTTGGATTTTGAACTTTTGGATTTGAGGTGCTCAACTGGTATAATGCAAATATTCTAAAATCCTAAAAAAGAAAAAGAAAAAAAGAATGAAACCTTTCTGTTCCCAAGCATTTCGGATAATAGACCCTCAACCTGTAGTTTACATATACATGAGTTTTCATAAGTTATGTAAGTTACAGTTGTATTTTATTTTTTGGCCAAAATAAAATACTTAAACATGGGTTTTCATTTTAATCTAAGCAAAAAAAGCAATTTTTGGTTTCATAGTTTATTGCTTAACGTTTTGTTAGAGATCCAAATACAACTTTAACTGTATCATCCTTCTAAATAGAAGGTGGCATTAAAGACTTCTGGGTAATGAACAGTGGAGATAAAGGTGGCAGATAGATGTTTCAAAGCTGTATGAATGGCCAGAAGAGTGTGGTTGTGGTCTAGTAAGTGCAAAGCAATGTACCTAAAGAAAAGTTATCTCGTATGTGTTTATATTATGACTAATAGCATCTTCATTATGAATCAGGAGCGAGACTTGGGAATCACTATCGTGTTATGATTAGTTTCTTGAAGACAATCGTGAATGTCTGGGTGTAGACAAAAAAGGAGGAAAAATATGCCAACAAATCTATGGTATTATAAGGAAAGTTTTGGAAATGTAGTGGAAAATATTGTACCCGTGTAAAAAAACATGTTTTTTCTACCCTCGAAACACAGATGTCTCTTACTGTTTGTGTTGGATAGGTCCTGGGATCTTTGAAATCCTAAGATTCTTGGATACCACAGTATCATAAAATTCCTCTAAATGCAGTAAGTATACACACAAGTATAACCATAAATTAGGAATAAGATTATTTATGTAACTGCTGAAATAGCTGTCGTATAGTATACCACCTTACATTATTGGTTTAATTATCATAACTGTGTTGTTCTCTGAACTTCACCAGCAAATGGATTTCTGTTCAGGGCCATTTTTTTACAAAGGCATGAATTTTGATTTTGTCAGAAAATAATGTACATTGAGTAGAGAGCAGTAGAGCTGAGTTGAGGATACCACGTTATCATTTATGTCATTAAGTAACTTTTTCCTATATAACATTTGTTTGACTTCCTACCATGAGGTTCACATGCGTACTATATTATTCCTGAGGAGATAAAGTAATTCTGAATGCTAAGAATTTTCCTAAAGGTTGAGCATCCCAAATCTGAAAACCTGAAATCCAAAATACTCCAAAATCTGAAACTTTTTTAGTGCTGACTTGAAGCTCAAAGGAAATCATCATTGGAACATTTTGGATTTTGGATATTCAGCCAGTAAGTAGTGCGAATATTCCAAAATCCTCAAAAATCTAAAATCTGAAACACTTCTAGTTCCAAGCTGTTTTGTTTTGTTTTGTTT